TACGATGGGGGCTGTTGGGATCTCCAAAATAATATTTGTTTTTCTGCTACCTCTCAACAAGATTTCCCCCTTGGCATGCCCATTCTGTATTAAAGCAAAAAAAAAAATCCCACTCCAATCAATTTTTCTTTTGGTTTAAACTTCCTTTCAAAGCACCTTCATTTATTATTTATTCACTTGATTTATATCCTCTTTTTCCTTCATGAATTTCTCCCCCCCACACACACACACAATAATCCTGTGAAGCAGGTTGGGCTGAGAGAGCGTGGCCATCTCAAAGTCACCCAGTGAGACATCAGGTTGGGTTTCTAAAGACATATTTCCATTTCCGTCTTGATCTGTGAGCAGCACAGCTGTGTAACTGGACCATGCATTCAAGACGAAAAACTCATGGGAAGGAAAAAAAAGAAACATGTGGCTTTCTCCAGCCCACTCTCGTAAACCAGGAGGGACAAAATACAGAAGTCAAGCTTGACTACTGGTGTCCATGGACCCAACCAGGCATTTTACGGCAACATTCAGAAATAACATGTTCTTGCTCTCTTTTAGCATATGTTCTCCACTTCCCAGTCTAGCCTACAGCTTTGGTATCCCTGTGTCTCCTATCCCAGCACTAACCAGGCCCAACCCTGCTTACCTTCTAATCCCAGACAAGGGATTAGATTGTAAACAAGACAAGGTTTGCTACCTTATACCTATAAAAGTGCATGAACACTCATAGTCTACATCCATGAGAATTTTCACCCAAAATATTTTCCTTTTGTGAGAAGCTTCAGAAGCAATTTCTCTTTCATCAGACTGAATGAGAACCAGCAGCTGGCATGGGGAAACCCAGGTTCAGCCCTAGAAATTCCCTGGATGACTTTGAGCCAATCACACACACCTTCTGCCCAATAAGGGCAGGGAAATTGTTGTGGGGAAGAGAGATCCTCATGTAAGCTGCCTTGAGCTTCTGGAAGAAAAGCAGGATATAAATCCAATACAGGTAATCCTCTTTAGCAACTGCAATTGGGATTGGCAACTCAGTCATTACACAAAGCGGTTGCTGAGTGAAAAATCACGTGACCACAACCATGCTTATGATTTTACAGAGGACAACACGTGCTAACTGACTTTAATGGCATGACTGAAGAGAGACACTGCAAAGAACCCAAATGCAGGCATTGGTTGCAAAGCTGTTTTTTTCAGCAACGTCATAACTGCAAACAGTCACTGTCTGAGGCAGTCACTAAATGAGGACTACTTGTAATAAACTTGTAGGAAAAAATGCAAGATAATGCATTATGCATAAGAAATAATAACTTCAGTCTACCACTGATCATCTTAGATTCTCTAAGCAAAGGTGGTCCATGTGCACCATGTATTTCATGTATTTATTTGCTTACTTTTCTGGTAAGCACCTGACTTCAGACCATACTGTAAAACTAGGCCAGCTTCAGATGTTGCAAAACCCTCTGCTCTGCTTAGCATCTTCCTGGCTGGAAGCATCAATGAAGCAGAAGTTCAACCTGTCTGAAGTGCATCAGTGTAGAGAAGCTGGTAGAGGATTTCCTTCATGCACAGCCTCGGCTGGTTCAGTATACCTGGCAGGCCTGCTTAGGACTTTGTGTTGCCTTCTGTGAACCATGGACAGGTACATGGGAACATGACTGAAGCTTCTGTTCCTCTTGTAGGCAGTCTGGAAATGAACTTGACCAGCATTCCACGACCTGCCAAGCGGCCTCGTGATTGCACTGTGAAACTCCTGCAGGAGAATGGTGGTGCAGGCAGATCCTCCACTCCTTTTCACCGTCACAAAAAGAAGTGTATTTCCCTGTTCACCCAAAGGAATATGAGGGGCTGGTGGCCCTGCATTGTTCTTGAGAAAGACAAGCCACGAGTGTCAGTAAGTCAAGAAAAGTTTTGGTGGTTTAGTAGGCTGTCCCTAATACATCGGACTGGGCTGATGGATATTTGGCCTTCTGCACTATTGGTCAGGCAACGATGTTCAGTGAAAAACTTGGGTACTGGAATCCCTCACCTCTTGGATAATATTCCTAATATTCCATTAGGGAGCAGATTTGTTCATTTTTAACCCCTCCACCTTGGAAAGATCATTCTTCTGAAATATTTTATTTCTTCAGCATCTCCACGTCTTAAAACTAACCTTCCACAACCTGAAGCCTTCCAGCTGTATGGGTTATGAAAGGCCTGCTAATCTTGGAGGACATCAGGCTGGGAAAGTCTGGTTCAGACCAGCCCAAAAGGCTGTGGTATCTTGCAGATGTTTATGTTCCAGATTCATATCTCCCAATCCAGGCAGAAGATAATATTTCCTTCAAGTCTATGATGGTTAGATTGAATTCATCTTCCATGGCATCTTATGACATGGGAGTACTAATAAACGAAGTCTTCCTTCTGTTAGCTTCATATTTCTGGTGTGCAGGCACTTCTGGGCTTGTTCTTCTCTCCCCACCTCCCCTTCCCCCAGCTTTGCAAACATTTTATTAGAAGATGTTGCATATGCATCATCATATGTTAATTTGTCTTCCTTTCCCTCCTCAACCAACATTCAAAGGTAATCAGCGGATCCCCTGAGACCCATCAGAGATCTCTGTGCCAGAGAAGTGGAATGTCCCTTTTAGCCATTCCACTAGAAGGGACATTCCACTTCTCCAGTTCCAAGACAGGAATGCCCAAGTAGACCAAATACACACATAAGCACACCCTTATAGATGAATACATAGACGCATATTTTGATCAGCCTCAACCATTGCATTAGCTACTCAGAACATCTCAATTATGATGTGTGGATATATTGATCACATTCTCCCAGTTGCCAGTCTTCATGTAACTCTAGAAAATTCTGGTTAAAATGTATTGGAGCTACTCTTCTTAGCCAAGGTTCATGGTTCATCCCAACGGTCCACTGATTTAGGCCAAGGGCAAGCTGTGCCTTTCAAATTTGAAAGAGTATTCATTAACTGAACAGTGTTACCTTTAAACCAGACCCTGGAATGTCTCAAGAGCTGCTAATCTGTCAAGGTCCATCCTAAGATGATATGAAGCATCAGGCTGACATATTGACCATCTGATACCTTGGCCCACAAATCAGGACTCCACTTCGCTTTATGCCTGTTAAACACATCACAGGAAATTGGGTTGGTAGCAAGAGTTGGATATGAGCAGTCAGCCCATGCTTGCTTTATGCCAAGCCTATCCGGAATTATTTTTTTATCTCAACCCATCTTCTGTGTCTCTGGCTCTCTAGGGTAAGGTTGAAATGACTCTGGAGTTGCTCACTGAGCAGGAGGCTGAAGAACTGCCAGCTGGGAAAGGAAGAGAAGAGCCCAACGCAAACCCCTTTTTGAAGCCACCAGAGTAAGATCAGAAGAACATGGGTGTCCTCTGGTACAAAACCTGGTAGAAGGGTGATTGTCCTGCAGACTGATGGCCATCATCTCTAGACAGTATAGAAGGGAGCTGTAGCCTAGCATCATCATTCTAGGAATTGGCAGATTTTGAAGCAGGAAAATGCAAATTAAACCACCTTCATCCCAATGACCAGGAGGTGACCCTGACCAGGTCTAGATTTTAAAAGACCCTGGAAAATGTATCCTCATGAAAACCACAATCTTTGGCAGTGGTCTTGTAGGTGCAGTGGGCAATGTATGAAGTAGTCTTGCAGATGCAGTGGGCAATGTGTTTCTCATAATGCCCCAGTGACACCAGAACACAAGGCATTGTGGGAAATGAAAAGGGGGGATCCTGCAACTATTGAGTCCTGGACGAAGCAGAAATTAATGGGGGTCAGCAGTTGCTCCGAGATGTCAGGTCTTAAAGCATTCAAGTTCATCATCAGCTGATTTGTGACCATAAGCAAGTGAAGGAAGAGGATGAATGGAGCTAAGATGAGTACAGTCGCCATCTTACCATCTCTTCTCTCCTCATTCTTCTTTCCCCAACCAGGAGGCCAGAGACCTCTTTCCTATGGTTCACAGCCCCCTTAAAGAGCCTCCATTTTATTATATGGCAGAAGAGTAAATGGAAGATCCTAATTTTCCTTTGCATCATGCTGGTGATCTTGCTGTTTGCAGATTTCATCTACTCCGCTCCTGTAAGTCTTCTGGGGAAAGAATATGAAAATGTGACCTTGAAGGGGAATCATGCACTATGAGTAACAGGGGTGGGGCTCATTCAGTTAAATGGGTACTACTCATCCCAAAGAGAAATAGGGATAAACAGGTAATACAGTTCTGCTTTCATGGATTGTCACCATCCTCTGTCTTTGTTTTCTCAGGGTTATCTGGCCATGAAGTTGGTCAATCCAATGAAAGTCCATAGTTCATCTTGGTCCAAGCAGTCTTCGAAGAATGAAATTAACACAACCTCCAAAATAACATGGACAACCGCAAAAATAATGCAGACAGTTCCAAAGAAGCCATTGCCACCATCAGTTCCCAAAAAAGTGCCACCAGCAGCTCCCAAGAAAGGGCCACCAACAGCTCCCAAGAAAATGCCACCAGCAGCTCCTAAGAAAGTGCTTCCAGCAGTTCCCAAAAAAGTGCCAACAACAGCTCCCAAGAAAGTGTCATCAGCAATTCCAAGGAAAGTCCCAGCAACAACGCTGAAGAAAGTGAGACCAACAACGCTGAAGAAAGTGGAACCAACAACTGTGAAGAAAGTGCCACCAACAACTATGAAGAAAGTGCCACCAACAACTGTGAAGAAAGGGCCACCAACTCTGAAGAAAGGGCCACCAACAACGGTGAAGAAAGTGCCACCAACTGTGAAGAAAGTGTCACCTCCCACCTCAAAAAAGCCATCACCTCCTCCTAAGAAACCACCAAAACCAACTCCCCCAAAGCCACCACAACCGACTACCAAGAAACCACAGCCAACCTTTCCCAAAAAAACAGCTCCCCCTAAAAAAAGATTAGTAACACAAAAAAAAATACCAGTAGCTCCCAAAAAAACACCACAAGTTCCTCGCACGACATCACCAACTCCTAAGAAAAGACCACTGTCTATATAGTTAAGTTATAATTTTTTGCTAAACAAACAAAATTCCTGCCCAGTTCTTCACAGCCAATTTGAAATTCTTGCACCAAAGGAAGGTTCTTCCTACGTCCTCCATGTTGCCCTCAAAGGATCTACAGGAGTAGAAACATTCAGTCTTCTATGAATTCTGTACAATCCTTCCAACTTTTTCACTTCCATGATGGTGTTCCTCAATTTCAAAGCCAACCCCACAGTATCTCTGTTACCTGAAATAGTTGCAGGGGAAGAGGGGGGAAAGAAATGTGTGATGCGATGGGGTAGGACTTCAGAAAAAGGGAGCTTCCTGAATGTTCTCCTAGTATCTCCAAGAGGCAAAGAGAGCCCCTCATTAAAATAAGATGTAGGCCAAGAGGAGTCAAAACCTTGTTGGTTATAGAACTAGAGCCATAAATATTTGCAGGGCAATCTTATGCATGTTTTAAGCAATAACTTGAGGTAAGTCGTACTGTACAAATAAATATCATGCCGTTGATTGTCATGTTTGGTTGCTTTTGGTGGGAGTAGTCCTTTTTAAAAAAATTATATTGAGATTTTTTCATAGAGTAAAAGACAAATTGAAGGGGAGGGGAGGGAGGGACTAAAGTTAAGAAATATAATGACTTCTGACCTTCTTTTCAACAGATAGTTACAATATTGTAGTCTCTCCTCCCTCTTAGATATTATTCAGGTCCCTTCAGCCCCTCATTTAATCTACATCTTTCTTAATCTCCAAACCTATAAACCATCGCATCATTTCATTCTTCTTTCAGCAAAAAATACATATAAGGTTTCCAGTCTTTCAGAAAAGTTTTTGTTGTTGTTTTCTCTGACCAGACAGGTCACTTCTGCCATTTCTGCAAATTCTGACATTTTCAGAGTTGGTGGGATAGTCCTGAGTCCGCGCAAAATGAAAAAGGAAAAAAAAATTGCCTTGAGACCCCAAGTTGCTTCAAGTCTGCAGGTTGCCCATCGCTGTTCTGTACCTCCAAATTGAGATCAGACTAACTCAACTAGATTTTCCAAACAGAACGCTCTGTGTGAGGCTGCAGGCTTAAGAATGGTAGGAAGGCCTAGTGAGGCTAGCCTCTCAAACCAACTAGCATCTGGCCCTGTATTAGAGGTTTTCAGGCTCAGTGCTATGGACTCCGTGTTGGATTCTCTTTGTCCATCTTTCCCCTTTCTGAACTTCAACTCATCTCATTCTTGCACTACACTGTGTCCTGTCAGTTTCAACTTGAGCAATCTGAGCTAACTAACCTCGTCCAAATTAGCTGATGAGGGGTGACCATGGAATGTGTAAAAAAGGGGCAGGTTGCCTTCTGACTTTTTTGACCCTCCCTGTGGACACTCCTGTAGTTCACTCTTATTCCTGCTAAAATCAGTAAGGCTTATGTTGTGATAAAGTAGGAATCAGTAACCCTTAGGTTTAGCTAAATTAGGCTGATTTCACCCAATAATTTTACAACCAACTTCCGACTGAATTTGGAAAGTCTCTGGCTCAGTGATTTGCTTAGTTGTGGCTAAGTGTTGTATGACTCCATCCATTATGGTTTATTCACTAGGCCATGGCTTCATTAGTGCATGAACTCAGGTCACAAAGAGCGTCACATCTAATTTTGTTTTAATATTCCATTAGGACACAAATTATTTCCTTTTTTTTAACCCCTCTGCCTTGGAAAGATCATTCTTCTGAAATATTTTATTTCTTCAGCATCTCCACGTCTTAAAACCAGCCTTCCATAACCTGAAGCCTTCCAGCTGTAGGGGTTATAAAAGGCCAGCTAATCTTGGAGGACATCGGGTTAGGAAAGTCTGGTTCAGACCAGCCCAAAAGGCTGTGGTATCTTGCAGGTGTTTATGTTCCAGATTCATATCTACTAATCCAGGCAGAAGATAATATTTCCTTCAAGTCTATGATGGTTAGGTTGAATTCATCTTCCATGGTATCTCATGACCTGGGAGTACTAATAAACAAAGTCTTCCTTCTGTTAGCCACATATTTCTGGTGTACAGGCAACACTTTCTCTCTGGAATCCAGACCAAAATGTCAGTGAACTCCCACTAATTTAGAGCCAGCCCCAGACAGGGTTTGGGTGTGCTCTGTCTTGACAGCCTGGTCTTTCATATGACAAAAAAGTGCCTGCCCCACATTTTACTTGTTGGATGCAAAACCATCCCCTTTTGAGATGTTCAGCAGTGAGTCTTGGGCTCCCAATTTAAGCTCATGGTGTGTACAGCTTGCAACAAACATTGCAATGGAGAGAAATTCTGTGCAAATATCCAGGATTCAACATCATCCTGTTCCCCCACACCCCCCTTCCATTTTTTCCTTTTCTCTCGCCATTAGGAGACTACTTTGAACTGTTCTGTAAAATTATTGGATTTCTCTATTGATTTCTCTGAGTGGTGCTCTATTCCAGCTTGGGTGGCATTTAAAAAAAACTTCATTGTGAACCAAAAGAAAAATGATTTATCCAACCAAGGTTGATTTCTGCACTATTTTTAGTATTTCTGAGCCTCTTTTGCTGTTGTCCTATAGTGCTGGCCCAGTTTCCTTCCTTACATTTGATATCCAGTCTTTTTTTTTAATAGTTGCTAGTCGATGTTCCATACATTGCAGGCACACTCCATCTGAGTTTGTGCAACACCCTGAGCTACAAATTAGATAACCACAACTGTGCCTAATGTATTGTGCACACTGGTCTATCGGCTTATTTTTACAACTCAATTTGTCCTGCAAATCCATAAAATTCAGTAAACCATGCTTTAGGTCTCTGATGTGGGAAGGTGTGTGTGAGGTTTACAGAAGTTTACTTCTATACACTTCAGAACAGGGTGATGTGCTCCAATATCCTCTAGATATTTTGCAAAACATTATGTATATTTGCACAAGCAACTGAAGTTGGGCCACACAACAAAACACACGTATACTGTTCTTGGGCTTGAGCCAATGAGAGGACAGGCTGGTTTTATTGGCTAAGCATTTCCCAACCTCGACCACTTTAAGATGTGTGGACTTCAACTCCCAGAATATGGAAAACTCCTAGTGATTCCATTATACAGTGGTACCTCTAGTTACAAACGCCTCTCCTTACGAATTTTTCAAGATACGACCAGCTCCGGCCCCAAAAATTTACCTCGACATGCGACCCCCGCCTCTACTTACGAACCGGATCCGCGGCTATTTCCCCTGCTGCCACGGGGTCGCGGCTTCCTGTGGGCAAGATCGCGGTACCAAGGAGACGTT